CAACAATTTCAAGAGAATCTATGAAAAAAATGTTAAGGAAGGTGGCCTAGCAGGTCTAGATTTCAAAACATATTACAAAGCTGTAATCATCAAAACGATTTGGTATTGGCTAAGAAATAAAGTGGTGGATCAGTGGGATAGAGTAGATACACAATACACAGTAGGAAATGACCATAGTAATCTAGTGTTTGATAAACCCAAAGATCCAAGCTTTTGGGGTAAGAACTCAACATTCGAAAATTGCTGGGAAAACTGGAAAGCAGTTTGGCAGAAACTAGGTATAGATGAACATTTCACACTGTATACCAAGATGCGGTTGAAATGGATAAAAAAGAGGAAATTTTCACTATTCTTTTGCCTTATTTTTCTCTATCATCAGTCTTTTCTAACCATACTACACTATAGTTCTGACCTTACCCTCTGAAGTCATTGGTGATCTTATTCGCTACATCTGGTGGCCCTTTCTCGTTCCTCATCCTTTTGACTTTTCTGCAGCATTTGATGCTCAACCACCCAATCTGATGCTCTCATTTGTCTGGGCTTCCATGGTATTGCTCTCTCTTGGTTCTCCTTCTACCTGTCTGACCTTTTACCCAGTGTCCTTTGCTGCTTTATCATGCCACCAAACTGTGGTCTTGTCCTAAGGATCTACCCTGGACCTTTTGCTCTTTTCTCTCCACATTCTCTTGAGGATCTCAGTCAGGGGTTTACTTCTTATCCCTATGCAAATTCCTCGCAGATCTGTATATCCAACCCTAATTTCTCCCTTGAGCTTCAGTCATGTATCACCAAGTACCCAAAGAAATGAGATGTGCCATAGACATCTTTAAGTCAAAATGTCCAAAACAGAACTCATTATCCTTCCTACCCTCCCCAACCCTCCTCTTCTAACCTTCCCTATTTCTGTCAAGTTCTGCTGCTCCCTCATCACCAGCCTCCTCAGGTGAGAAGAGGCACCAAACATCCTCATATTTTACAAAAAAAAAAGTCAAGGCCATTAATCATGAGCTCAATCTTCTCTCAATCAGTCAAGAAATATTTACTAAGTAACTAATATATGCCCTCAGGCACTGTGCTAAGCACACAGATCTATTCGTCTATCTATCATCTACCTATCATCATCACCATCACCATCACTATCTGTCTTTCTATGTACTATCTATTCATATATCATCTATCTCTATCTCCCTCCAATTTAGCTTTATCTACCTCTTTATCTCTATCTTGATCTAACTATCCATAACTATGAATTTATCTACCATCTATCTTTCATCTCTTTCTATCAACCACTTATCTCTCTATCTCTAGCTAGTTATCTCTGTATCTTATCTATCCTTCCACCTCTATCTAGCTCTGTGCATTTGTCTTTATCTACCTATCTATCTATCTATCCATCTATCTACCTACCTATCTATCCATCTATCTATCTATCTATCTCTTTCCTACCTGCCTCCTTATCTAATCTACTTACCTATCTTTGCACATGTTTCTCCCTTGGCTAGACTGGAAGCTTTTCAATGACAGGGACAGTTTCACTTTGGTCTTTGTGTCACTGAACCTAAAACCTTCTAAAGGTTTACCTAAACCTTTACCTAAACCTTTACCTTTACCTAAAACCTTCCTCACAGGCTGGGCTCCATCTGAATGACCAGACTGAAGGAGGAGGCCTGGGGGGTGATCTACACTGAAGATTCCTTTGGGCCCTTGGGTAGACCAGAGTAGGTCTAGCCTCATCATCATTCCAGGATGGACAGGATTGGCATTCGTCTATGCCTACTCCTAGCAGGTCAAGTTGATGCCCATAGGGAGGAGGGTAGGGAGAGTTGTGGCTACCACGAGTCATTCTTTGGGGAATTTTCTACTGGCAGAAAAGTCTCCATTGCACTTAGGCCAGAGCCTGGCTTTTAACAAGAGGCATTGGACAAACACTCAGAAATCCTGGAAACCAGCAGGCCTTACTAGGTAGCCCCCCCCCCCCCCACAGCCATCAGGGTCGGATGGGATCTGGTCACCCAAAACCAAGTTTCATTCACCAAGGAGAATGCCTTCTGGGCCTGAACTGAGCTGGGTTTGGGAAATAGGCATGTGAACAATTCAGGATGTTCCCCTTGCCTCTGCCCCAGAGGTGGCACTTTGGGAATGTGGTATGTGAACAGTCCAGCAGGGCCTGCCCCCCAACAGAGCTGGTGCTTGGGGAGCAGGAGTGTGAATACTATAGCAAGGCCTGCCCCTCAACAGAACTAGTGCTTGGGGAGCAGGGCATAAGTAGTCCATGCCTGCCTCACTGCCTGTCTCCGATTCTTCCTACTCTCAGTTCCACCATGGCTTGGCACTGTTGATTGATCTCTGCCCCACCATGCCCCCCAGACCATAGCTGGCATGCTTATGGAGTTTGAAGGTGTGCCAAGACCTTTCCAAACCAGCTAGGGGCACCCCCATCCTGGATGGAAAGAATGCAACTTTGCTCTTTGAGGTCACCCCCAGTTGCCAGTTTTCTCCCTTATTTTCATCTTCTCAGTTTTCCCTCTTCTGCTCATGGGTTTCCCTCTTGATGTGCACCTTGGTGACTGGTGGGACTCAGGTCCTTCCCTTCCATGGGACCTATTTCTCTAGGGTTTCTCTAGAGTTCATTCTACCTTTTGGTCCCGAGTCTCAGAGATGCCCCTCACTGCCACTTGTTCACTAACCATTGTTATCCCTTCAGGAACATTATACAGACACTCATGTAGGGAAGAATTTGGGGGAAGTGTTAGGTGGGAGAAGGCTGGGGGGTAAACCTTTAATTTTACATAGTTTTTGTTTTGTTTAAACCCTGGTGGTTGATGTCATACATCATGGGTATTTGTGTCGAAGCCCAGGCAGAGCCAGGTGGCAGGGACAGGGGTAGGGGGGGTTGAGATGGGTGGGGGGGTCCTTTAAGAGTCTTGGCAGTTTAGAACAAGGCCCCCTCCCTGGGCAAGGCATGAACATTCTGAGGGGGCTGTTGAGGGTGACAGTTGGAAAGGGGTGACGTGAGCGAGAGGACTGGAGGAGGATCAGAGATAGGATGGGAGGCAGGTGTGGGCTGGGTGCAAAGTGTAGCCAAGACAGAACAGCTCAATACTTGGCCTCCTTGCACACTGCTTGGATGTCAAAACAAGGTGCAGACCAATCCCAGCAAAGAGCCTCCACAATTGGAGAGGCCCCTGCTCCCATCTTGATGGTAGCAATTAGGGACTGCTTTGAATGGGAATGCCACATGCTACCAAAGGCTCTGCTGGTCCTCTCATACTCATTTAGGATCTTCCTTTTGCGTGTTAACTGGCCTTTGGACTTCTCTTTTACCTTCTTCCCTTTGAGGACTCTTACACAGATGTTTTTTATGGTCACTTCCAGCTCTAAATCTGTGCTCCTATGATGTTTTTTTTTCTGTACTAAGACTTCCAGAAGGAGAAATAGGGATAACCAAGCTTTGGCCCAGGCCCTCATTATTAGAGGGTGGTTGGACCACAGAAAAGGAATGACTTTTAGGGTCAGGAAGAGTGGAGGACAAAGTGGTAAAAGACTGAATGGGACAGTAGGGTCTGAAGGGCAGACAGTGTTGACAGAGCCTGGATCATAGTTGGCACTTAATAAATGCTTGTTGAGTAGCATGAACTGGGAAGGAGGTTTCGAGTTAGCGCTGCTCACACCCTGTGAACCAGAACTGTCTTGCATGGGTGAGACATGGCCCAGAGTGGGAAGGATGGCAAGCTTTGGGCTGATAAAACCACTTCACAGGTGTCTGGTTTCCAGGAAGGTCTTTTCTTGAATTGATGGTGCGAACCCTAGAGCGGGTTATTTCCTCTGCAGTTAGGTGGGCTGCCATGCTCTCAACCTACCCTGAACATCTGAGGAAGAGTCCCACGAATCCTGAATTTCTGGACTATTGATGCTTTTGAGTCATGCCAAAGCTGCTTTGGCTCATCTTCTCCAGTACTCGTGGCCTCCCCGTGGTCTGGAGGTGACTCTGGGTTCTTGCCGGCTTTGCCAGTGGAGCCCCGAGCTTAAGCAGGTCCTACCTGGCTCGAAAGGCTTCAAGGACAGGCCCCGTGGTGGACTGGGTGTTTCTTGTCTGAGGCCCAGCCTAGCTAAGTGCAGAGGGACTCATCACCCAAGATCTGGCCATCAGGCAGTGACTATTGTCCAGCCAAGGCATTTAGCAAAGGTTGCCTGAGATGGCATGAATCAGCATTGACCCCACCCCCACCACCCAACCCTGCATGCAGGTGAAGCCACTGGCCACTCTCCCCACCCATTCCACACAAGTTGGCTCTCTGAAGACTGCCACCAAGTGGGTACCATGCCACCCAAGTCCATAGCCCTGCAAAGAATAAGTCTCCTCTGTGCCAGGTCTTATAGTCAACCTGTGGTCTCCCCCTGTTATAAGGAGGATCATCTTGCAAACTTTCTAAAGAACTGAGTGGGAATTGTCCACATGGAAATTGGGAGGGGGGGGGTCAGAACTCCAGAGATTGAGTCTCCTGTCTCTTTGGACAGGACATCTTGTCGACCTTGGGAAGTCACAATCAAAGCCTCTACATTCCATTATGCTATGGCAGGAAAGGCTGACCTAGAGAAACAGGGAGAAAATGATGCCTGTTTTGCTCTCCCTAAAGTCATGCCCAGAAGCCCCAGTGGTGCAGAACTCATGCTCTGTGCAAGGGAGCCGAAGCTCCCACTAAGAAAACTCGTGGTTCTGCCCTTCCTCTCACCTCCTCTCTGCCCTAAAGCTCTGTCCTCTCTGGCTCAGACTACAGCTCCGGGCAGCCGGGACGGGGAAGGCCACCATGGCCCACCAGATGCCAAAGTTGTGCTGAGCCGCCTGGCTGGAGGTGCTCTCCTCCCCCCACTGCACCACACAGATGGGCACTGGGAGATGTCTCAGACTTCCTCCCAGTGCAGAGCAGTCCAGACTCCCCTCCTTCTCCGCTCACGGCCAAAGCAGCCCCAGCTGATGGGAGGGGTCAAATGCACCTTTATTAGTGGATTATTTTCAAGACTTAAGACACAGGCGAAGGGAAGGGGGTGAGCACCAGGGAAGGGTGGGGGGCACAGTGTTTCCAGAGGTCCCATGCAAGAGAAGGGGAAGCAGGCTAACAAAACCCAGCTCCTGGTGGGCTGCTGGCTAGCTGGTCCAAATTCATTGATCACAAGGGAGCACACGGTCTGTCCTAGCACTAGGATGGATCATCTGTGGAATGCCGGAGAAGATGGAGTCACTTCACAGCTTCCAAAGAGCTCAAGGGAAATTCCAGTTTTGTAACAAATACAAACGCTAGTTATCTAATGGCCTTAACATTTGTCTAGAACTGGGCTAACATTTGGTCCTTGGAAATGTAAAACAACCCAGTTGTGGTTGCAAAGGCCTGAGCTGAAGCCAGCCTCCTCCTAAGTCTAGGCCCCTGAAGGGGAATGAGTAAGGACTTTGATGGTGCTTATGGCAGTGTGGGCAGGAAAACAGCCTAGCTAGGGACACAGGGCTGTGAGTGGCAGATAGGAAACAGAGGCTTCGTTATTATTGATGATTGCAGCCCTCAGAAATATGTCGGCGGTCAAAACAGAGCAGGGTTCGAGACCTGGTGGGTCTTGAGAAGTCCCTCTGCTCTCACTGGCAGTGCGCAAGTCTAGAAAGCACCCTATGGTCAGGCTCGGGGGGCAAGGGGGCCTGCAGGGGCTGGAAGTGTCCTATGAGAAGGGCTGCCTAAGGGTAAAGACTGTTTCAGTTTTGTCTTTGTGTCTCTGTGCTCAGCCCGGGGTCTGCCCCATGGCAGAAACTTGGTCAATGCGAAGGGAATGGAAGGGCGTTCATTGGACAAGTGCCATTTTTAGCATTTGGTGCCCTACCCCATCTATTCCTGAGAGGTCCAGAATTTTGAGACAGCTGCCTTTTCTTGCCTCCACTTTCTTCCTTGGAGGAGGCTGGGCATGGCAGGAAGCCAGGTAGCAGCTGGAGCTGTGGACCTGGAAATGTCCCTACTCCGCTACTGTGGGCAGGCAGTGCCAACTCCCCTGGGCCTGCCTTCTCTTGGGGTGGTGTCTTACAAGGGGACCCAGACTTCTCAGAAAGGAAAGCCTACTGGTGGGGGGGGAATGGAGGCAAAGTAGGGCCCTTCTCAGAAGTTTGGTAGGTGGCCAATGAGAACCAGTGCTGAAGGCCCGGAAGGCCCTCCCTAGGATAGAGATGTGATATTGGACCGTCCTCCTGGAGGGGCAATGATCTTCTGGGCTGGCCTCCTGGCAATGTGGTCATCAGCTTGAGAGCCTGGCAGGGAAAGAAGACAGGAAACTGGAGATTTCTCCCAGATCACAAACTCCCAAGGAAGCCTGCCTTTTTGCATGGGCAGAGGGTGGGGAGGGCTTTGGACTGTGGGCTGCTGGGCCAGAGAAGAGGACATTCCACAAAACACCTGGGCTCTGTGCCATTGGCTGCACCAAGGCAACAGGATCCAGTGCCCCTGTTCGTGTGAACCCCCTGGGCATCGCCCCCCTCCCCAGCTCAGATTTCTACCAAAGTTCTAGGATGCTGGTGGTGGAGGGAGGAGGAACTTAGAACCACTGAGCTTCACCGGGGTGACCTGGCCTGTCAGGGCCAGGTCACTCAGCTCCTAGCTCGGCCCTCCGCCTATGACCCCACCCCCACTCCTGTCAGCCAGTGGTGGTGCCGAAGACTCCCCAGGGTCTCAGATGAGGGGGCCCAGGGCTGTCTCCAGATTGCCCTCTCCCTTCCCATTCCCCAGGGACTCACCAGACAAGCTGAATCCAGACTGGTGCAGGTTGCGGATGGGGGGGACTGTGATTTTGCCAGAGCAGGAGGTGATTCTGGAGGCTGGTGTTGGGGCTGCTGACTTGGCTGTCACAATCCCATCATGGACTGGGCCATCATAGAGCCCCCTTGGCACACCATGAATCTCAGCCAGCTGGTGGTGGGCAGGGAGGAGCAGAACAGAAAGGGAAAAAGAGACAGAACAATCAGGGCAGAGCCTGGGCTGGGAGGCATCAGTGCACGGTCCCCCTGAGACAGGGAGCGCATGCAATGGGTTTCCAGTGCTGCCTGCCCTGGGAATGCACAAGTTGGGAGTGTATGAGTCCATCGAGCATGGCTGGAATGTGGGCCCCATATTAGAAGGGCCTGGGACCTGAGCAGGGAGGCCAAAAGGTGCCCATCTCATGAGAGCCTCTGAGCCAAAATCCCGGTGGGAAGGACAGCATCCCCAAAACGTGAGCAACCCTGGTCGAGGATCCCACTCTGGTCCACTCAGTCTCTGTGCTCTACTCCCTGGTGTCCTCTCAAAAAGTGGGGGTGGAAGTTCCCCAAACATCGGCTCAGCCTGAATTATCATTATTAATGGAATAAAACCCAAACCAATGTTGAAGCAAATGATGAAGCCTTCTAGCCCCATTCCTCCTCCTCCTCCTTCTGAAGCCAAGGGAGAGGTCAGGATTTGTCTGAGCTCACCCCACTCTGGTGGGGCTGGGGGAGGGGAGGTGGCTGGCCTTTAGCCCTGCTGGGCCAAGTTCCCACATGAAAGCCAGAGGTCTGCCATGAATGACTTCTTAGCAGGGAAAGGAGGCTGTCCTCCCATTTACTCAACTGGAGTCAAGGCTAAGCCACAGGGAACTCCTTAGGAGATAGGGATATGATCCGATCCCACAAGGGGCTTGGCCACATGCGACCAGAGGATGGGGCTCTGGGGGGAATAGCCAAAATGCTCCCCCAGTCATGCTTGGCTGGCCCTGGGAAGGAGGCCTGTCCTTGGTGCTGGGGTGGTCTCTGCTCTGCTGCTCCTTGGTCATTCCATGCTGGGTCCTTCCTGGGCTCCTAGGGCCTGCGCTGGCCAAGGCTGCTTAGAGCTGTGCAGGCAGGCCCAGGCTCTGTCATCCTCATATGTTCATGGCCAGGCCGATGCTATGTCCAGACTCACGTGGGCATCACGGCTTGCTCCTGCCACCCCTCCCTTGGCACTGTTGGGCCCCAAAGGACATGGACTCTGGCCTTGGCAGACTGCCTCTCCTCACAGAGGGGCAATGCTGTTCTCAAGTGATGGAAAACTGGAGGCCATCAGCCTTCCTCTTGCAATGGGCCTCAGACCTGAAGGGAGTTGATGGGGGATTTTGCCGGGCAGGCCTGCCCCAGCTAAGGTTCTGTTGAGTGGGATGGAGCTCTGGCTCGTTCCCTTAATGACCATAATTCCCTTAATTACTCTGTGGGCCTGCACCATAGACAGGAGCACCAGCTGGGATGCATGTGAGGGATTCTGGCCAGTCTTTGCTCCACCTCCCAATACTCTATGTGAGTATGGTCAAGCCTCTTGCCCTCTCTGGGCTGCCTGTTTCCTTTCCTGCAAATTGAAAAGGTTGGACTAAAGGATCCCTGAGCATCCCCCCAGCTCTGATGAGTCTGGGAGAAGCTCCTCGAGCTCAGGGCCAGACGCCTCTTTGGGTTCCTGAAAAAAATGCTTTCGTGCTTTTAGGATCGGTGATTTGGGGAGCTCTCTCGCTCCAGCAAGGCAGATAGAAGCCACTTCCCTTTTGACCAGATGGTCTTCAAGAGCTACCAGGCTTAAAACAATCCTGACCTGTGGCCATCCTCTGAGCCTTCAGCAGATTCTGACACCTGGGGCTCACTGTGTCGACAGCCCTGTCCTCAAAGCCCTTCCAGCACGATGGGACTGGCCAGAGAGTGCTCCGATGGGAGGGCCTGGGAAACCTGAGGGTCCTGTCCATACTGCACAGAAGCATCAGAGGTGTGGACAGGACTGGAGCTTAGTGAAAAAAAGCCCCTAGAGATGAGATCTCAATCCCATCCCAGAGCAAATTCCACCAAGCCTCCCTCTGGGGATCCACAAGTTTCCCGGAACAAAAGGGAATTAAAGACGCATGGTCATTGTGGCCTTCCACTTTCCATCACTTCTCAGTCAAGTCTGAGCTGAAAGCCAGAGCACCAGCTGGCCCTGCCTCGCCGCCCCCCAATCCTGCTCCCTTCACCTGCCTCCTGCTTTCACAAGGAAAGACAGCTCACCCACCATGCACTTCCACTTCACCAGCCAAGGCTGTGGATGGATGGAACAATGCGCCCATGCTCTTATTATTATGGAGGGACAGCAACTGTGGCCAGGTTCCAGAAGGCTCACGACATCTGCCAGGGTCTCAAGGATTCAATGTGTAGGTTCATAAGTACAGAGAAACTGAGAGAGGGGTCGCCCAGAGGGGAAGGAGAAGGGGAGAAAAGAAAAGTAGAGAAGAGGAGAGGAGAGGAGAGGAGAGGAGGGGAGAGGAGAAGAGGGGAGGGAAGGGGAGAGGAAAGAAAGGGAGGAGAGGGAGGGGAGGGGAGGGGAAGGGAGAGAACACTTTTCATCCAGGGCCAGCGTGGATTTTGTGATCTGAGCAGGAAAAAGCAGGGAGGAAGCATATATGTACGCAGACATATATGTGTGAATGTATGTGTAGGTATGAGTGTGTGTGTGCTTGTGAGTGAGTGTGAGTGCACACACTGGGCCCAAGATTTGATCCAAATGCAGAAACGAGAAAAGCTGAGCCTGGTTGAGCCACAAGCTGGAGGGAACATCCCCCGGGCTGGTTCCCGATGCCCCTGGTTGGACCATGGGATGGACAGAGCTTTCATTTCCTTCCCTGTCCCAGGATAGCCAGAGTGGGGGTGCGAACCGTTAACAGTGGCTTCCTCATGACTTGTGTCCAGCATGCGGTCTCTGTCCACTCCCTGGGGTTGTGCCCTATGCTTCTGGCCTTCTCCCCAATTACAGCGTTTTAAAGATGGGGTGCATGAGTGCTCCCTACCTCCAGGCACGCTGAAGTCACTCCATCCCCTCAGTGGCGGGATCCATCAGACACCCGCTGCTCTCCTGGGCAGGAACCTGGCCCCAACCTGGGAGAGCCTTCCATGGACTCTGCCTGGGAGGGTTGGAGGTCCCAAGGAGGCTCTGCAGAGGCCGAGGACGTGCTCAGAGAGCTCTCCACACGACTGGCGGATGCTAATTCCTCAAGGCTAAGGTTACTCCTCATCCCAAGAGGGGTGAGCGGAGCTGCTAGTCATTCACACTCTGGTGTAATCAAGCTGCTTTTTGTGTGAGGAAGTAAAACAAAGATCAGTCCTGGGTGACTGTGATCTCACGGGCACCAGGAAGGCATCAAACCTCCCATCTTCCATGGCCATGTCCCACACTTCAGGGTCTCTCTTCCCTGAAGTCTATGGGATTCCCTCCCCAAGCTGAAGGGTCTCAGGAAAGGCAGGAAAGACCTGCCCAGCAGGGACCATGCGGTCAAACCTGGACCTGACACAGGTTTTAACCAGGCCCCAAGGCAGGCATCGCCCTTTGGGTGACAGCGTGGATAGGAGGAAGGTTTTCCTTACATCAAGCCTAAAGCTGTCTGTCCAACTACCACCCTTAGCTCTCTCTTCTGTGAATAGCTTTGGGAGAGCTGCCCCTATGTTGGAGGGCCTCGATAAGGTCCAGCCTGACACGTCAGCCAACCCAGGCTGCCTGGACTGAGGTGAAGGGGGTGCACGGCCACCGGGATGGGGGAAGGTGACGGAGGTCCTTTTGATCTAGGTCACAAGTTGGCCAAGGAAGGAGAAGGTCCAGAGGCAGAGGTGATGCACGCAGCCAGTGGCCTGGCGCACAAGGTTTCCAGAGGGGGCGGTGTGATCTCCCTTCTTTTCAGAGTCATCAGGGTTGTGGCCTATTGCTGGTGGCCTCGGGGAGGCAACCGTGGAGTCCCAGGTGCTTGGAGACATCACGGTGATGGCAGGTAGCCTGGGCCACTGTCATGGGCCATACATGGGGTACCTCTTGCACCCCTGTCCCAAACCTCTCTGGCCCCTATTTCCGTCTTTCCTTTCCTCTCTGGAGCTCTCCCATCCCAGGGGAACACAGTCCACAGAGGGCAAGGCTCCCAGGGACACAACGCGTAGGTCCCACCCTATTCAAGGGGCCATTGCTACTGGAGCGGGCCTCCACAGCCTGCCCAGGCCTCATGAAGAGAGCTGTGGATGGACACTGCTCATAGCCTAGGGAGGGAGGAGGCCCACAGGTCACTCTGGGGATTTCAGCTTTCGGTTTCTTTCCTTCTGAATGTCCTGACACTCCCCAGGCCTCAGTTCACTTCTCCAGACCTCAAGTGAGGAAGGAAGGTCCTGGAGCCGGGGGCTTCCCTTCTGCCCACTCTTCCTGGGTCTCTTTTTCATAGCTTTGGTGTGGAAACCCACCATAGAGAGTACTCCTTCAAACATCCTCTAGCTCTCCTATTTATCCAAAAATCTCTCCTACTTAGAAGCAAGTGGAAGGAAACATCTCCAGGGCACTATTCTCCCTTCCAAGACCCTCCCTGAGACGCTTTTGTTCTCTTCCTCAGCCTAAGCAAAAGCCTGCTCCCAATCCTTGCCCTGGGCCCACTAAGCCTTTCACCTTCCAGAAGGTCTGGTCCCTTTGGGTTTTCCTGCCCTGCCTACCCCACCCCCGCCACCTCCTGGTTCTCTACCATTAAGAGTTTTCCCAGGTCTCTCCCTGACTCATGGGGATGGCCCTTACGGACTTTCTGGCTCCTCTCTCAGGGACCAAGGAAGGATCCATGGAATTCCAGGACCCGGTCAACGTTTTCTGGCGAGGGGCCTAGTTCAGGAGGAATTAACCCTCACCTTGGCCCAGGGAGCCACCATTCTCCCCTGCCCCATAGACCCCAGCCTGAAGGCCCTCGACTGAAAGCAAACTGGGTTTCCTGGGAGCAGACAGTGGCTGTGACCAAAGAATTAATTGATCATCAGTGGCCACTTGGCCCATGCCAAGTGTCTCTGTCCTGGGCTGGTCCCATCCTTGGACAGCAAATGCTGTTAGCTGACTGTTTCCCTAACATAGTTAAGGTACACCAAGCAGTGCCCTGAAGATGGCAGGAGAGGAATTAA